CGTCGCCGCCCCCCCTCACCTCACTTCCACCTCGGTCCCTTTTGTCTGGTGTCAGGAGGCCGCTGCAGCCTTCTCCCACCTCAAGTCCCTGTTCACCTCCGCCCCCGTCCTCACCAACCCTGACCCCTCCCTTCAGTTCGTGGTCGAGGTGGACGCCTCGGACGTGGGCGTCGGCGCCTGCCTCTCCCAGCGCTCTCCCAAAGATAACAAGCTTCACCCTTGCGCCTTCTTCTCCCGCCGTCTTTCCCCCACCGAACAAAATTACACCGTGGGGGACCGGGAACTGCTGGCCATTAAGCTGGCCCTAGAGGAGTGGAGGCACTGGCTTGAGGGGGCTGAGCTCCCTTTCCTAGTCCTGACAGATCACAAGAATCTTTCCTATATCCAGACCGCTAAAAGACCAAACTCCCGTCAAGCCCGGTGGGCCCTATTTTTCGATAGGTTCAACTTCTCCCTTTCCTACCGTCCTGGGTCCCGAAACACCAAGCCAGACGCTCTCTCCCGACTCCATTCCCCGGACACTCCCCCGAACCCCCCGGACACCATTCTGCCCCGCACCTGCCTCGTCGCCTCTGTAGTCTGGGAGGTAGAATCCGCTGTTCGCCGCGCCCAGTCCACTGAACCCGGCCCCGGCCTCGAGCCTCCTAACCGCCTCTACGTCCCGTCGAGTGTCCGCTCCCAGGTTCTTCAGTGGGCGCACGCCTCCAGATTCAGTTGCCACCCCGGGATGGCCCATACCCTCTTCCTACTTCGCCAGCGATTCTGGTGGCCCTCCATGGATAAGGACTGTCGGTCCTTTGTGGCCACCTGTGAGGTGTGCACCCGCGCCAAATCCTCCCATCAGCCACCAGGTGGTCTGCTCCGCCCCCTCCCGGTACCTGGTCGCCCCGGGTCCCACATCGCCTTAGACTTCGTCACCGGTCTCCCCAGATCCAACGGGAACACAGTCATCCTCCACCATCGTCAACCGTTTCTCCAAATCCGCCCACTTTGTCCCCCTACTCAAACACCCCACCTCCTTGGAAACCGCCCGCCTCCTCATCAACCATGTCTTCCGTCTACATGGCATCCCGCAGGACATCGTCTCCGACCGGGGTCCTCAGTTCACGTCTCAGGTCTGGAGAGCCTTCTGCCGCGCCTTTGGTGCCACCGCCAGCCTCTCTTCAGGTTACCACTCCCAGACCAATGGACAGGCCGAGCGGGTCAACCAAGACCTGGGGGCGGCACTCAGGTGTGTGGCATACAGAAACCCGACCTCATGGAGCTCTCAGATCCCCTGGATCGAATACGCCCACAACTCCCAGGTTTGCGCTGCCACTGGTATGTCCCCCTTCATGGGTTCACTGGGCTACCAACCCCCCCTGTTCCCGTCCCAGGAAGCAGAAGTAGCGGTCCCCTCAGTACGGGCCCACTTCCGCTGTTGCTGCCGCATCTGGAGGGAGGCCACGGCCAGTTCCCCCGTGTCCTCGTCTGCCTCTCCCCCTCTTTCCACCCGTCCTCTCCTCGAACCCCTTTTTTTCAAAAACTAGGGGACACAGGATTCCGTTGGAAAGATGAAACTGGGTAGGAACATCACACCAAAGTAACAGCTAAAATATGTATTTGTGATGCAGTTGCAAGGGCAATGGTGCAGAACTTTAAACAGTTCAATGGAGAATTTGGATGTGGTTTTTGCTACCACAAAGGGGAGATGGTACAAAAAGGCAGAGGTTTTACCAGAGTTTATCCTGAACAGATAGTTGGGTGCGACGTGAGACGTATGGCTGAAACACTGCAACTTGCTGAGTTAGTGGTGGAAAATGGTAATGACCTCAAAGGGGTGTTAAAGGTCCAAGTCCGCTGATCCTGTTGCCATCATTTGACATTATCAAAGGGTTTGCTCCAGATTACATGCATTGTTTTTGTCTGGGTGTAGTCCGTCAGTTTGTCAATTTTTGGTTTGACCCTCATTATGCCAACAAGAACTTCCACTTGACTCCCCGCCAGCTGAATGAGCTAGACAAGGGTCTGTGTAAAATTCAGGCGCTTAAGTGAGCGAATATATTGGAAAGCTTCTGAGTGGAGGGCATTTGCTCTCCTCTATTCTCCTGTAATACTTGTTGATGTTTTACCGGGGCTGTACTATACACACTGGATGCTTCTTGCATACGCACTTCACATCCTCCTCTCCCAGTTTGCCACACAGGATGAGCTCAATTGTGCAGAGTTATGTCTCATTCAGTTTGTAGCAAAAGTGCCAGCTCTTTATGGTCTCGAGCATTGTTCATATAACTGCCATTTGTTGACGCATCTTACCCAGAGTGCCAGGGACTGGGGTCTTCTCTGGACCAATTCAGCATTTGTTTTTGAAGACATGAATGGCAAACTCTTGCAGCTGTATTCTGGCACACAGTCAGTTTCGTCACAGATCTTTAAGCATTTCTTTTCATATCAGAAGGTTATTAGAAAAGGAACTGCTGTACTTAAGGATTCAAGCAGAGAAATGCAAGATTTTTTCTTTTCCATGACAAGTGGCAACATTGTTACAAAGTCTTCATGTAACATTAGAGAACATTTAATGACTTTGGGGTGTGGCTCTCACAGACAGTTAACTGCCAGAGAAATTGCTGCATTGCAAAACAGGTCTACACTCACAGAGTACCAAAATGAGAACAGTTCAACTGTATATAAGCGTTGCATGTACAATGGTATGTTAGTCACCACCAGAGATTACAGTGTCAATTTCAAAAGAAATAATTCTGTAATAGAAACAACTGATTGCTTTGGTATGGTAGAATCCTTGGTTGTTGTACCAAAACACTGCAACAGTGAAAGAGGGTCTAACTGCTCTTGCAGAGAACTTCTTATTTTCTATAAGCAACTGAAGCGGGAACACAGACAACCAGCAATCTATGATGCAGATATCAACACAAACATTGCGAAATTTCTTGTGAAAGTAAGGATGTCAAATGAAATGTGTGTAATGACATGTGAGGACATAGTAGCTAAGTGTATTGCAATTGAACATGAGGGTCAGTTATATGTGATGAAAATGCCTGTGTCTGAGCAGAGTTAAATTTATGCAGGCTAAAACCAGCCTCAAAATTCATCCACACAGTTGGGTTGAGGAAAACAATGTATAAAGGATATAAATGTGTCTGTGTATTTATGTGTCTATACTAAAATTCAGCTAAACAGTTTATTGTCAACTATCTCTTGTGTGTATATAAATCGATAAGCAGGACTTCTTTATTGCAATATTGTTCTTTTTATATGATTATTGCATTACTCGGATATGGTACCAGTTCCATTGTAGGAACAGGTGAACATGAGGTGACAAGACAACAATTTGTGTGTTGGGCACATTTTATATTGTGTAGGCCAACCTTTATAAATTTTGTATTTCTATATTGGTAGCTAAACTCACTGATAATTGTGAAAGCTTTTACACTGTATTCCTAATAAATTTGTGTATGCAAGTTGGGGTTTGGGTGTTTCTGTACAGCTATTGCTAAATATTTAAGTAAACACCACATTGTAGTTCTGTATGAGCGGAGCTGTCTCATTCAAAAACAACTCTGAGAACATATTTATCTTATATGAGAATATCATGTGTAATTCTTGGAATAGGAGGAATTTTTTGTTGCAAAGATCTGTTGAGAAAGAGAAAATATTTTACTAGAAGTGAAACTAAAACTACTAAAAGTAGCAAAATACTAACCAAAAGCTATATGCCCTGCTTTCAAAATTTTACATAGGTATAAGAGCATAAACTTTGTTAGTAAAATAGTATAGTTAAAGTATCTAAAGTAAAACTACTTGTTAAGTAGCACAGTGGGTCATGCTAGATGTTGCTTGAGACCTCTTCAACCAGTTACTATAGTACTTGTGTGAGTTTCAAATTTTCAAAAATACTCAGTGTGGTTTGTTTTAAATTATTTATTTATTTGCCCAGGACCATAATCATATTGAATGGAGCACAAGAAATAAAATGAATAACAAAGACAAAATGACGGCATACTGCTTGGTAAATAAAAATATTACTAAAAAAGAAGGAACATCACTCAAAAAGACACCCAGTTTGTCAAAATGATTTACACTGGTACTAACATAGTACACTCCAGACATTACCATATCGGTACCATGGGGCATGGGAGTAATTATCATGATTCCATCGTTATATTTGAGGTACTGTGGTAAGATCCAAGGTACTGCAGTATGTACCATGGTTATATCTGAGGTACTATGGAATGTTCCATGATTATATCTGAGGTTCTATAGTATGTACCATGATTATATCTGAGGTTCTATAGTATGTACCATGATTATATCTGAGGTTCTATAGTATGTACCATGATTATATCTGAGTTTCTATGGTATGTACCATGGTTATATCTGAGGTTCTAGGGTATGTACCATGGTTGTATCTGAGGTACCATACTATGTACCATGGTAAATCTGAGGTACCATACTATGTACCATGGTAAATCTGAGGTACCATACTATGTACCATAGTAACATCTGCAGTACCATGCAATGTACCATGGTAATATCTGAGGTACTATAGTATGTACCATGGTACTACTATGGTATACCATGGTATGTACTATAGTTTACCATGGTAAACTTTCTTATGGGGTGTTTTCTCCCCTGTGTGTGCTCTCTCTCCCTCTGCTCCTGAGCCCAGCCAACGACCCGCACCTGCACCTCATCAGCCACCTCGTCAGCCTGCCACACCTGCCAGTAGTCAACCTCATCCCTGCCTGTATTTCAACCCCGGTTCTCCACACTACTCTTACTTGATCGTCGTTGCTCCATACCCGGTGCCACCTCCACGTTCAGGCTCTCGTGTTTCTTGTTTTCTCACATTTTCCCTGTGCTTTGTCTCCGTGATCTCTAACCCTGTCTCTCTGTCTGTTTCCCTCCCAGGTACACTCACCCTCGTCCTCCGTTCAGTCGGCTGGGCTCATCCACCGGTCCTCTCCTCCTCGGACTTCTCCCTCGCCTCCTCGCTTCCTCGGTCCCAGTGTTCCCCGGCTCCCTGGTCCCCAGTCTCCTTGGTTCCCCGTGCCTGTGTTTCCCCAGCATCCTCCGAGTGCTGCGTCTGGGTCCTCTGTCCCCACCCCACACCACCCTTGTAACAATTCTATATTAAGTGTCCTATCCTGATTTTGTATTTGTATTTGTTTTTTTTTTTTTACAGATTTCTTCTCAGAGGAAGTATTTGGCATAACAAGTGAGAATGTTATCCTGTCAGGAGCTGGTAGACCTAACAGGAGAAGTAGGTAAGTTACCTTAACTTAATCTAAACAGTGTGTAGGTTTTATTTAAAAACTTTTATACAGATGTGTTATCATAACTCTTCCCTTGTCACCCGCAGATGGTGCGAGACACTGAACAGTCCTTTAGGCAGGGGCTCTCCCCTACGTTTTGTGCGGAGAGAGCTCCAGTTCCGGAATCAGTTCAGCTCTCGCCTTCAGTACCGCAAGCGTAAATAATACCGGGGACCCCGGATCACGGTAATCAGCCGGATGTGTCGCCGGAATCACCCGTCAACGTTGTAGAGCCCTCATTCAGGCCTCAGATGGGAGATCACGTAACGGATCACCGGTAGAAGCACGGGCACTGACAGCGGGGGATATCCTCAGTCATCCGGACTCAGCAGAACCATGTACGCCGAGGAATCAGCCCATACCAAACAACGGAACTCGGCAAAGGGAACTCAAGGAGACAAGTTGCAGTAGTAGCAGGCCATCCACATGCTGTAAGTCTATTTGATTATTTTAAGTCTCTGAGACAGCACATTTATTTTGCTTCTGTAATCACTAACCAGCCAACAGATGTAGCCCTAAAAATCATTATCCTACCAAATATGCACTTATAATAAATGGAAATATTCAGAGTTTTCTGTGAAGTAATGTTGTTGATTATCGAATTAATGAGCTTAAAGTGATCCAGACTAATTTCTCAATTACAATACCAGGTCAAATACCGGGTATATGTATTAAGTAGTCTTATGAGTTAATGTAAACTGACTTTATAAGCTATTTTGCTGCTTTTTCATTACAAGTATTACTGTGATGTTTTTTGTGCACTTCTACAGTGTTTGGTACTGATTCATGCTATTTAGTTACTAGATAATGTAAGAGTTTAAAGAATGTTAATGATACCGTGCAAATTTTTAAAAGTAGTTTGCTATAAAGTGGTGGTTTTAAGGGGTGAAGCCTGCCTTTCAGTATTAAAATACACTAAGTTAAAGTTTCTTTTGTTTTTGTCTACCTCCAGCAAACAGACCCTGAGCATCTAGGAGAGGCTGCCAAAATTGCTGTCGGACTGCCCATGATCAACTCGTTTTGAGTAATATGAGTAATGCTTTCCGACTAATGGGTGACATGCTGGCTGTGTACAGTGATCATGATTAGTAAGATGTTTTATCTGAAAGTGTTTCGATTCATTTTTTTTAAAATGTGTTTCATTTGGTAATTGTTTTTATTTTTTTCAATTTGCAATAGTTAGTTAAATGTGTTCTTCATTTGAAATTGTCGTTGAGATTTTTTTTAGATTTAAGTGTTTTGATTTTTAATGGATGAGAACAAACCATTAGGGCTTAGGTTAAGTTTATAAGATGGTCAGATCAAAATTTTCAGAATGAGTCAAACTTGGTGGTGTAGTATGGTGTAACTGAAAACATTGTAATTGAAAACGAGACCTCCTCCAGTCAGGTCTTAGATCTGTTACACACTATAAATCAAGCTCTCGTTGAACTGGAACACTTGCCAACTGTTTTATTAGATGAAATAAATCAAATGAATTAAGACTGCAACCAAAACATCGCCTCTTTACCCAAGCATATCCTGTCTTAAACTCCTTTGTCTCTCCAGACCCCTTGAGCCCATTACAAAATGCTCTGAGCTTGAAAATAATGCAAACCCTGCCTTAATCCCACATCCTCAGCCTACCAGAGTCCCATAAACTACCCCCTCATTGACCAGGTAACAACATTCCTCCCTTGGGGGCAGCGCGACTCAAAATATTGACCCTGTGGCACCTCAACCAAGAGTCATATCACAACATGCACTCACCTAAAGGATTATTAGGAACACCATACTAATACTGTGTTTGACCCCCTTTCGCCTTCAGAACTGCCTTAATTCTACATGGCATTGATTCAACAAGGTGCTGAAAGCATTCTTTAGAAATGTTGGCCCACATTGATAGGATAGCATCTTGCAGTTGATGGAGATTTGTGGGATGCACATCCAGGGCACAAAGCTCCCGTTCCACCACATCCCAAAGATGCTCTACTGGGTTGAGATCTGGTGACTGTGGGGGCCATTTTAGTATTTTAGGGGCGGCTGTGGCTCAGGAGGTAGAGCGGATTGGCCGTTAATCAGAAGGTCGGCGGTTCAATCCCTGGCTCCCCCTGGTTGCGTGTCGAAGTGTCCTTGGGCAAGATACTGAACCCCGATTTGCCCCTGGCGGCTATCCCGCCAGTGTATGAGTGTGAATGTTAGTTTCCGTTAGTTTTGAGTGGTCGCAAAGACTCGAAAGGCGCTATACAAGTACGGAGCATTTACAGTGAACTCATTGTCATGTTCAAGAAACCAATTTGAAATGATTCGAGCTTTGTGACATGGTGCATTATCCTGCTGGAAGTAGCCATCAGAGGATGGGTACATGGTCAGAAACAATGCTCAGGTAGGCCGTAGCATTTAAACAATGCCCAATTGACATTAAGGGTCCATACCACCAACAGCCTGCACAGTGGTAACAAGGCATCCATGTTCTCATTCTGTTTACGCCAAATTCTGACTCTACCATCTGAATGGCTCAACAGAAATCGAGACTCATCAGACCAGGCAACATTTTTCCAGTCTTCAACTGTCCAATTTTGGTGTGCAAATTGTAGCCTCTTTATCCTATTTGTAGTGGAGATGAGTGGTACCCGGTGGGGTCTTCTGCTGTTGTAGCCCATCCGCCTCAAGGTTGTGCGTGTTGTGGCTTCACAAATGCTTTGCTGCATACCTCGGTTGTAACGAGTGGTTATTTCAAAGTTGCTCTTCTATCAGCTTGACTCAGTCGGCCCATTCTCCTCTGACCTCTAGCATCAACAAGGCATTTTCGCCCACAGGACTGCCGCATACTGGATGTTCTCTTTTCACACCATTCTTTGTAAACCCTAGAAATGGTTGTGCGTGAAAATCCCAGTAACTGAGCAGATTGTGAAATACTCAGACCGGCCCGTCTGGCACCAACAACCATGCCACGTTCAAAATGGCTTAAATCACCTTTCTTTCCCATTCAGTTTGGAGTTCAGGAGATTGTCTTGACCAGGACCACACCCCTAAATGCATTGAAACAACTGCCATGTGATTGGTTGACTAGATAATTGCATTAATGAGAAATTGAACAGGTGTTCCTAATAATCCTTTAGGGGAGTGTAGATTCTGCAATTATGAAATACGCCAGGTGTTGCTTTCCTGTGATGAGAAATTGGTCTCTGACGTTACAGACAAGAGTGAGATGCACCAGTGCTACATCCAGACACTACCCCCTGAAACAAAACACACAGAAGAATTGGTGTTTTATGATTTTGAAACATACGTCAATGAAGATGGCGTTCACATACCCTTTTTGGTGTGTACAAAAACATTAGATGGCAAAACATGGAGCTCTCAGGGCAGAAATTGTGAGGAGTTTCTCATGCATTTCAGACGCCCTCTGTACATAAATGCTGTTTATTGCTCACAATGCGCGAGGTTTTGACTCCTACCTACTCAACGCCATGCTTAAACAAGCATTAAAACCCTCTTTGATTTTGCAAGGTTCCAAAGTCATTTGTATCACAGATCTAGATTTTGATAAAAAATACATGGACTCACTGTCCTTTCTTTCCATGCATTTAGCCGATATGCCAAAAGCGCTCGGTTTCGATGACAGAATTAAAGGTTTTTTTCCCGCATCATTTTAGCTCTGCTGCCCATTTAACCTACATAGGCCCCTACCCAGAGCCAAAAATGAACGCATGACAACGGTACAACTGAAAGACTTTAACTCCTGGTATGAGACGGCACGCTGCGGTACATTTGATTTCTTGAAAGAGGCTCGTCTCTATTGTGAAAATGATGTTGAGATTCTCGCAGAGGGGTGCATGCTGTTCAGAAAACAGTATCGATGAAACTGCGGTTGATCTGTTTATGCCGTGCGACTATAGCATCTGCATGCATGAAACCAACTTCCTTCCTCCTAAATCTTTAGCCATCCCCGACCCCAATAACTACAGACGCCAGTTCAAAACATATTCAAACGCAGGCTGTCCCACTTTTTTCAAAGCTCATGAGACCAACCCTCTGACTAGCTGCCCTTTTGAGGAGTTGCATGCGAGCTGTGAGGAGAAATTACGTGAGTTACAGGCCATCCACAATGCTAAAGTGATTGTCATGAGAGAGCACAAGTGGAAAGATTACAAAAATCACATCAGGGCTTAAAAGATTTTCTCAAACAGTATAATGCTCCTCAACCTCTCTCCCCGCGAAGCTTTTTATGGTGGTCAAACCTGTGCAGTAAAGTTGAGACACACTGCAGCTGCTAATGAAACGGTAGACTACTTTGATGTGACATCACTGTATCCCTATGTCAACTGTAGCTTTCCCTATCCTTTAGGGCACCTGAAAATAATCTACAAAGATTTCAAAAAACCCCAAAGCTACTTTGGAATAATCAGAGCCAGAATCTGTCCGCCACAGGGGTTATTTTTTTCTGTTTTGCCATATAGAACTGTCGCTGGTAAGCTTGTCTTCATACTCTGCCGAACGTGCACTGAACTTAATTGGAGGAGGGCCCATGTCAACACAGTGATGAGGACAGAGCGTTGACAGGGGTCTGGGTCACTGCTGAATTTAACAAGGCCTTGGAGATGGGGTATCGGGTAGCTGAGATCACAGAGGTATGGCAATTTGATAGAGCGACTCGATCAGTACATGCACACTTTTCTGAAGGGTAAACAGGAAGCTTCAGGTTACCCCCCTGAAGCCAAAGATCAGGATCCCGAGAAAAGTACATCAAGGACTATCAGACCAATCAGGGTATTTTGCTGGATGCGGCTAAAATTCATCAGAATCCTGCAAAAAGACAAGTCTCCAAATTATGTCTCAACACATTCTGGGGGAAATTTGCACAACGTTCGAATCAGACTCAGACTAAACTAGTCACTGACCCTGAAGAGTTTTTTTTAACTTTGTTTTCTGGAAAATATAAAGTTAATACTTTTCCTTTGTCAACGACAAAACAGCAATGTTGCAGTGGACTTATGGCGAGCAATGTATTGCCCCTCCAAACAAGGTAGACCACGTCTTTATAGCTGCTTTCACCACAGCTTATGGGCGACTAAAGTTGTACAGTTATTTGGAGCAGCTGCAGGAGAGGGTCGCATTATGATACAGACAGTATTATCTATGTCACAAAAGAGGGGGAGAGACGGCTTGACATGGGTAATTACATGGGAGATTTGACTGATGAGTTAGATGGTGATAGCATAAAAGAATTTGCGGCCGCGGGTCCAAAAAGTTATGCATACCAAACTCAAAACAAGAAAGTAGTGTTTTGTGTAAAGGGTATCACTAAAACACATGATTGTTGTAAACGAGTTAACTTTAACAGCGTCAAACAGTTGGTGGAGAATTATGTGCTAAACTCTGATGATGGGGGTGTCATTGAAACACCTCAGCACAACATTGTACAAGATAAAAGCGTTTTTTTTCTTAGAAACTCATTCCAGAAAAGGTTTAGAGTGGTGTATGACAAGAGATGGTTACTGAACCAAGGTCAAACCCTTCCTTTTGGCTATTTGAAGAAAAAAATTAAAAAAAAAAATAATGTTGGAAATCCAATGAAATTGTAATGTACACTGAACTGCAAAAGAATAAAAAGATCAAATTCGTCGGACTGCCTGATTCATTTGATGAAATCCTCTTTCAAGCTGGTCAAAATCATCTTATTATTTTGGATGATGTCATTTTTCAGGCCTCTGATCACCCTGAAGTTGTGAAAATTTTCACACAGTACAGGCATCACAAACGTGAGTGTTATCACGTTTAAAAAGGAATGCGCCTTTACGGAGGGCTTTGTCATGCCACACCTCAAAGGCGTAAAGATATTCTCAACAATTGCTTATCGGACTTTCTTCAGTCTTTGTGGGAACTTTCTTTGAATCTTTTAAAAGGAAACATTCCTATGACCTCAGCTCAATATGACAAACTCAAAAAACAAATGAAAATTATAAGGCTGCTGGCTAATAAAAAAAAAACCTTAAAACCAAACATAGGGCTCTGAGAAAACAGTCTGGAGGCTTTCTGTTACCTCTTCTTTCAACAATCCTTCCAGTCATTGTGGGAGGGCTAATTAATAGATAAATCATGAGTCAGAAAATGTTTTGGTGACGCCTCAGCAACTAAACCGCCTGAATCAGTTGGTAGCTTCTGCACCCAACGCTGAAACAATGAGACATACGGTAGAAAATTTTTTGGATGAAAAAATGAGGGCAATACTAAACGAAGATGTTATGAACGCTTATGAAAAAATTTGGAAATACAATGCCCTGCTGCAAAGATACCTGGCTCTGGTCAAACAAGGAGAGAAGGAAGCACGCCATATTACTCTGACAGTAGCTAAAGATTCTGAGGCACAAGAACAGCAAGTAGATGAAGAAGAAGACAAGAAACTGGATGAAACAGCAAGGGAGGTTGTACAAAACTTGCCGGCTCGCTATCGTAGGAATGCACAGTACATCATGAAGAAATTAACCAAGAGCCGGGGCGGGTGGACTCCAAGGGGAGAGTTTGTGTATAATGGATGTGGTTGTGAAAGGTTCACACCTGCTGGACTTGTTTAAAAGTCTGACCGTCTCTTAAAAAATCCCAACCTCCTAAGGGTTGGACAGGTTTTTTGAATACTTTGTCAGAACTCAACATCACTTTATCAATGATGAGTAACCCTCAAGCTTGAGAGCAATATAGGCATCGTCAAACGGTAGGACCCCGGGAAGATAAGAGGTGATGTCCCTGCCAATAAAGAAGGGAAGAAGGAAAAAGCACACACCCCGTGCCCCTCGCTGAGATACTGAGGATGATGAGATGTCTCCCTTACTATTTAAGAAGGGAAGAAAACACAGACGAACATCTAAAACCCCCCAGTAGGAAGAGGTGGAAACCTTGCCACCCTTAAGAAAAGAAAAAAGAAAGAAACTCACCCCCCTCACTCAACGATGGCTAAGTCAAACTAAAGTTATTTGTCTCAAGATTCATCTTTATTTATTCAATTCAATTCAATTTTATTTATATAGCGCCAAATCACAACAACAGTTATCTCACAGCGCTTTTCATAAAAGAGCAAGTCTAGACCGTACTCTGTGATGTTATTTACAGAAGCCCAACAGTTTATTTATAAGTTGTAGCAGTCTTTGAACATTTGTAAAGAACAAACTGTGTGGTGAAAAGATCCGGCTCTTTGTTGCCTCATACAACGTTGATATCTTTTCACAAAATTTGATACCATAGAATCATTTCTTGTAAAATCATCATGATACAAAGTCAGCACATTCTCAAAAGATAGGCCGCAGGCTCGATGACACAAATAGAACACACAATGCTGACCACATGTGGTAGACAGGACATGCTGAAACTGTCGTATGATGATGATGAAATGGTTTCACACTTTTTTTTTTTAAATTCCAGGATACTTTTGGGGTAATGTGAAAACTCTGGTGAGAGTTTGCAGCAGTGAGGTAATACTTTACTCTATCTTTCCTACTCTTGAGGTGCTATTTCTTTGCACTTTTACTGAGCAATCCACTGGAATCTGAAGGCCGGCTGAGCAAGATCAAACAACTGGGTGTGTGTCCCACCCACTGAAACCAAGCTTTTGTCTTGTTAATCCGGAGGGCGATCTCAGCTTGGTGCAATCATTCTTAATGCCCAACACCTGTGTGCAATTAGACTCACAGTACTTCAGTGAAACCTACCACTGAAGCGTCAGCGTTAGCGTCTGCTCCTTGTGTGAAGACCTACTTGGGTAAAGACTAGCAAGTCTATCTGTGCAAGGCCACCTACAAGAGAAGCTTTTTCCCTTTCTGAGGCACACCTACTCACCTAAAGCTGCCACCTACAACTACACTCAGGCCATGTGCTACTACACTATTCCTATTGTCTCCGGTCCACGCAAGAGGTATCATGCCATCAAGCACAGAAATCAGGCACCACCCACATCTGTTTACTTGTCTGTTGGGTCATGGAACTGCCAGTCGGCAGTCAACAAAGCTGACTTCATCACTGCTTATGTTAACACATTATCTCTCAGGCTACTGGCGCTAACTGAGACCTGGATCAAACCAGAAAACTCTGCTACCCCTGCTGCGCTGTCGACCAATTACTCTTTCACCCACACCCCCCGGCCGTCTGGTAGGGGTGGTGGGACTGGGTTCTTAATTTCCAACAAATTGAAATTCACACAGCTGCTAACCCCGAATCAATATGCCTCCTTCGAATACCATGCTGTATTTGTGTCCGCTCCGGTAAAGGTCTCTGTGATTGTCATATACCGTCCACCAGGACAAATGGGTAACTTTGTGGAGGAGCTAGACACACTGCTGTCTTCAATCCCAGAGCATGACTGTCCCCTACTTGTCCTCTGTGACATGAACATTCACTTAGACAATTCAAACTCAGCAGACTTCCTGTTTCTGATTCAGTCCTTTGATCTAACACGGGTTCTCAGCCCCCCGACCCACAAAGCTGGCAAGGTGCTTGACCTCGTTCTTGTCCGAAAGTGTGCCACAGAGTGCCTAACAGTCACACCTCTACATGTGTCGCACCACTATTTCATTCAGTTCACGGTATGCCTACAGGAAAAGCCCATTCTTCCAACACCATTGGTTTCACACCGCTGCAACCTCCCCAACCTGTCTCCCGCTCACTTTGTCTCAGTGGTAGCTTCCGCTCTACCCACCCTCAACACATTTTCCTCACTTGAGGTCAATGATGCCACACAATCTCTGTGCTCTACACTAAGCTCGTGCCTGGATAGCCTGTGTCCTCTATCCACCAAGCCTGCTCACCCAAACCAGCCCCACCCGTGGCTGATACCATCCGTGGGCTCCATACTGATCTCAGAGCGGCTGAAAGAAAATGGCGAAAAACCAAAGACCCCGCCGACCTTAAGGGCTACCAATTGCTCCTATCCTCCTTCCCAACAAGCATCAGTGCTGCCAAAACTGCGTTCTATAATGACAGAATAAGCAGTAACACTGACTCAAGGGAATTATTTTCCACTTTTAAAGCGCTACTAAATCCTCCTCCACCACCCACAAACTTGTCTGCTGATACCTTTGCTGCCTTCTCCACAGGCAAAGTGGAGGATATAACTAGCCAATTCTTTGAAACACTCAAACTCAACCATTGTAGCAGTCCTACTACATCTTTTCCTCTGCCCTTCCAGGTCAGTGGTTGTTCACTCTCCGCGTTTACTCCTCTCACAGAGAGCGAAGTATCAGAACTCTTGACCCGTAGCCGTCCAACTACATGCCCACTGGACCCGATTCCTACGAATCTCCTCCAAGCCATATCTCCTACTGTGGTCCCGACAATCACTCGTGATAAATACTTCTCTGGCTTCAGGAACCTTCCCGACCACTTTCAAAAGGGCTCGGGTTACACCCTTGCTCTAAAAGCCCTCACTTGACCCAACTCAAGTTGAGAACTATTGACCAGTGTCTCTTCTACCTTTTCAATTCAATTCAATTTTATTTATATAGCGCCAAATCACAACAACAGTTATCTCACAGCGCTTTTCATAAAAGAGCAGGTCTAGACCGTACTCTATTATGCTATTTACAGAAGCCCAACAGTTCCCACCAAGAGCAAGCACTAGGCGACAGAGGCAAGGAAAAACTTCCTTTTAAGAGGCAGAAACCTCGAGCAGAACCATGGCTCAGGGTGGGCAGCCATCTGCCTCGACCGGTATTTTAAATATGTCATCATTGGTTTAGCCTGCATACAGTAACATATCAGCAAATAACTACACAGTACAGAGGTGGACTGCTGCCACATCAGTTGCAGCTTCACCAATATGTAACATCGACAGCCACAGTCAATATCTGACAGCCAGGCCAGCATATTCCTTCATTTAAACTCCATTTAAAATGATTTATTCGAGATACAAAACCACAAGGGTGCCTGTGTGTCATTGTTTTATTTTTCCTACACAACACAGACTTAAGTTAGGCCGTGTGGTACTTTACTGACACCCGCAAAACAAACAAAAAAAGAAAAACCTTATCTATTGTCATAGGTTATACATTAGTTTTGTTGAGTTGTCTCTGAAATAGAAAGTTGGCATCTGAAAAATACATGATTGTAGTTGTTACACAAAATAAGGTTGGAGGAGGTAACAAATTGATTGTGTCCTCGACCCACATTTGTAAGTATCAAGCATTCCCCTTTTTTCTAAGAAACAATTTATGTGCGTCAACGCAAATCCCGTCTTCGCACTGTTCATCCTGTGTATGGCTTTAAATGGGGTTTAAAGACTTGGCAAGATAACAAGGCAATGATAACTTAACTTTTTTATCCAAAACTATTGAACGGGCAGTATTCAAACAGGTCTCAGAATTCCTCTCAGGGAATGACCTCCTAGATCCATATCAGTCTGGTTTTAAGAGTGCCCACTCTACTGAAACGGCTCTTCTGTCTGTAACAGAAGCCCTAAGGTCAGCTAAAGCTGCAGCCCAATCCTCGGTTCTTATCCTGCTTGACCTATCAGCTGCCTTTGACACAGTCAACCACAGGATCCTGATATCCGCTCTCTCAGCAATGGGCATCTCGAGTAAAGCACTCCTGTGGTTCGAATCCTACCTCTCGGGGCGTTCCTACAATGTTTTGTGGCAAAGACAATTATCCTCCTCCCACTGCCTCTCCACAGGGGTGCCCCAAGGCTCAGTGCTTGGGCCCCTTATCTTCTCAATTTACACAACTTCACTGGGGCCGATCATTCGTTCGCACGGCTTCTCTTACCACTGCTACGGCTCAGACGACACGCAACTCTACCTATCCTTCCCGCCAGGCGATCCCACTGTCTCGGCGCGGATCACAGACTGTCTATCAGACATATCTGCATGGATGAAGGCTTGCCAGCTGCAACTAAACCTTTCTAAGACTGAACCCTTGGTCATTCCAGCCAAGCAATCTATCCACCATAACATCAAACTACAAATTGACTCCGCAACCATCACTCCAACCAAGGTGGTGAGAAACTTGGGTGTCGTGATTGATGACCAGCTGTCCTTTTCAGACCATGTTACTACTGTCTCTCAGTCATGCCGCTTTGCTCTGTACAACATAAGTAAAATCAGGCCCTATCTCACTCAGTACGCCACCCAGCTTCTGGTACAGGCCATGGTTATCTCTCGCATCGACTATTGCAATGCCCTCCTAGCAGGTCTCCCAGCTTGTGCGGTGAAACCCTTACAAATGGTTCAGAACGCAGCAGCGCTTCTGGTTTTTGATCAGCCCAAGAGGACTCATGTCACTCCATTATTCAGTCACCTCCACTGGCTCCCCGTGGCCTCCAGAATCAAATTCAAGTCACTAATGCTTGCATACAGAGTGACTACTGGGTCTGCACCCATCTACCTAAACTCCATAATACAAACTTACGTTCCTTCTCACCCGCTACGCTCCTCCAACGAACGTCGCCTGGCTCTGCCATCCCTTCACACAAAGCAATCCCAGTCCCGGCTATTCTCATCTGTGACACCACGATGGTGGAACGAGCTACCACACGCCATCAGAGCAGGGGCATCCCTCTCTAACTTCAAGAAGCTCTTGAAAACTCATCTCTTCCGAGAACACTTCCTCTTATAACACCTCTAACTCCTAACCTCTAACATGCACTTCCTGTGCTCTTCTTCTTCTATCCCCTACAGTGATCTTGTATTGATTGCACTTTTTGTTTTGATTGCACTTTTTGTGAACTCTTACTTCCTTCCCTAGGTATCTACCCCATTGATGTGATATGTACTGTGAGCTACCCCTCATTAAGGCCGATGCGTGACCCCACGGCTGGGGATACAGTGACTTTCTTAACAAACAGAGAAGCCCCCAGTATTTTTAATCGGTAAGTAGTGGCAGCCCCAGCCATGAGAGAAAAGGCATCGCTAGCCCTAGTTAGCTTAATTCTCAAATCCACAGAGTTCACAGAAAAAAATGTCACTATGAAGAGGGCCCAACAGGTGTACCTCCTTAGATTCTTCACTGAATTGAGCTCTTTGTACTAATCCTTTGTTTGGCCCATTATCACAACTGAGTCCACAGACCCTGCTGTGTCTTTGTAAAATAATCCGCCGCTGAACTGGCTTTTTAGCGTGTATTCAGAATAGTTGAGCAGGGTTTCGATCATTGCTCTGTAGGGGTGCGTAGCGCTGGATTGTGAAATGGGTGGTGATGGAGGTGGTGTAAGAGCGGAGATGCAGCCAGAGCCCATCTCTAGCATGAAAGGGGTCCCAGGCAGCCCTGGCCGTGGTGGTGGTGAAGCAGGGGAACTGAAAGTGGTGCCCTGGGCCTGTGGAGGTTTTTTACAGCTACAAACAGCCGTAGATACTTGGACGTCTTACAGGAATTTCTTGAATCATAAGAGTATAAAAATGACGCCTATGCAGGTGATGTCAGAAAATACCTGTCAAGTGTTGTGCAAAAATGACTTAAAGATGAAATTTAAGGAGGGGGATTTGTTAAGAATATCTAAACTGAGAGGAGTGTTCGATAAAAAAATATGAATAGAGTTATAGAGATGAACTTTTTACAGTGACGGAGCACATACCTCGTCAACCCCCGGTTTATAAACTGAATGATTATGACGGAGAACCTATCCAGGGTACGTTTTATGAAGCAGAGTTGCAAAAGGTAAAGGTTGCTAAAGACAAAGCATTTCAAGTGGAAGAAATCCTGGAGGAACACAATGTCAGGGGTAAAAAAGAAATGTTGGTGCATTGGAAAAACTGGCCTGAGAAGTTTAACAGCTGGGTTAAAGCAAGTGACCTAAAAAATGTATAAAAAAACAGATAACTTGGATTTTTAGTCATTACAACATGGATCAAGCCTTCGCTGAGGGGTTTTACGTGACTTTACCTTCCAACGCCAGTCTCGATGTATTTAAAAATAATACGAGCTCTCGCTACCATTTAGATTTAGCACAGCACATTAATTTAGAGGGTCGGTAGCAAGTGGCCTTGACAGAGATTTCATATCCGCACACCTGGTTTAACATATCTAGTGAGGATGCCTACTTTGATTGGAGGAAGAAACCCACAGAAGGAGAGTCAGAGAGTGAGGTCCACCGTCAGAGGTTTAAGGGAGGATATTATCACAACATACAACAGCTCAGGCTAGAGCTGCATGCATTTCTTAGAAAAATTGGCTCTGATATTTATTTTCTCTTTAGTACCATTCAAAAGAGATTTGAATTTCAGGCAGGGGGCCAATTTCATCTCTGTTTTTATCCTCCTGCTGCTTACATGTTGGGGTTTGAACCGGGGAAGTGGTTACAGTTCAATCAGAGGATGGCACCCTACCCAGCAGGTATAAAAGCTCATATGTCCCATCTATACGTCTACAGTGTTCTGGTTTGGCATCAGCTGGTTGGTGACACATACGCTCCACTCTTGAGAACGATTGATATACAAGGAACATACGGGGACGTCATCACGCAATATTTTAATCTTCCGTTACCTTCCAGTGATCAAGAATCACATTGAAAACATTCACATTGAGATTAAAACGGATCAAAATACACCGGTAAAGTTTACCTTTGGAAAGACTATTGTGAAACTCCATTTTAGACCTTCAAAAAACTTTGCATCTTCTGTGACAAAATGATACATCATACCCGCGATCCTCACCGTTTTGTGAGCTATTATGAAAATCAAGTAGGGGGCGCTCTCCCTGGTTTTAACGGGGCTCCCGTCATGTACGGGAGAGGCATAGGGTCTATATTCTCAAAATTATTTCGTTTTGTTGCACCGTTAATGAAAAGAGGTTTTGCCATTGCTAAGCCTCATCTTAAATCAGCGGCTAAAAACATAGCCTCAGAGGAGATAACCCACGCTGATGGTAAATTAGGTGGTCGATCGGACCAAGGCGTTGAAGGCGGCATGATGGTGTTGGCTCGAAGAGCGAGGAAGAGACCACCAGGGCGGCGGGTAAAAGCGGGACAAACAAAAAGAAAAAGATCAGTCGGAAAAAGTAAGCCAAAGAGGAACAACGCTAGCAGGAAATCCTCTGATATATTTTAGAAAAGATGGCCCTTTTATATCACAAATTGGCCGAATGCACTATGGGGGAACTGGATTTATTTTCAGCTCCCATGACACAATTGTCCATCGACGAAAAGATTTACACAGAAGTCATGCCACTGTCACCCATTACTGATGGAGGCCCTGTTGAATCTTTTATTCCCGGAGATGGGGAAAAATATTTGCATTTGAACGATACCCTGTTACACCTGCGCTTGAAAATTACGAATGCGGATGGATCAAACCTGGCTGACGATGCCTCTGTGGGTCTCATCAATTATCCCCTAAATACAATCTTTAGCCAATGTGATATTATTTTGGGAGATAGACTGATTTCACAATCCAGCGCTACGCACCCCTACATTATTTTACAAAGACACAGCAGGGTCTGTGGACTCAGTTGTGATAATGGGCCAAACAAAGGATTAGTACAAAGAGCTCAATTCAGTGAAGAATCTAAGGAGGTACACCTGTTGGGCCCTCTTCATAGTGACATTTTTTTCTGTGAACTCTGTGGATTTGAGAATTAAGCTAACTAGGGCTAGCGATGCCTTTTCTCTCATGGCTGGGGCTGCCACTACTTACCGATTAAAAATACTGGGGGCTTCTCTGTTTGTTAAGAAAGTCACTGTATCCCCAGCCGTGGGGTCACGCATCGGCCTTAATGAGGGGTAGCTCACAGTACATATCACATCAATGGGGTAGATACCTAGGGAAGGAAGTAAGAGTTCACAAAAAGTGCAATCAAAACAAAAAGTGCAATCAATACAAGATCACTGTAGGGGATAGAAGAAGAAGAGCACAGGAAGTGCATGTTAGAGGTTAGGAGTTAGAGGTGTTATAAGAGGAAGTGTTCTCGGAAGAGATGAGTTTTCAAGAGCTTCTTGAAGTTAGAGAGGGTTGCCCCTGCTCTGATGGCGTGTGGTAGCTCGTTCCACCATCGTGGTGTCACAGATGAGAATAGCCGGGACTGGGATTGCTTTGTGTGAAGGGATGGCAGAGCCAGGCGACGTTCGTTGGAGGAGCGTAGCGGGTGAGAAGGAACGTAAGTTTGTATTATGGAGTTTAGGTAGATGGGTGCAGACCCAGTAGTCACTCTGTATGCAAGCATTAGTGACTTGAATTTGATTCTGGAGGCCACGGGGAGCCAGTGGAGGTGACTGAATAATGGAGTGACATGAGTCCTCTTGGGCTGATCAAAAACCAGAAGCGCTGCTGCGTTCTGAACCATTTGTAAGGGTTTCACCGCACAAGCTGGGAGACCTGCTAGGAGGGCATTGCAATAGTCGATGCGAGAGATAACCATGGCCTGTACCAGAAGCTGGGTGGCGTACTGAGTGAGATAGGGCCTGATTTTACTTATGTTGTACAGAGCAAAGCGGCATGACTGAGAGACAGTAGTAACATGGTCTGAAAAGGACAGCTGGTCATCAATCACGACACCCAAGTTTCTCACCACCTTGGTTGGAGTGATGGTTGCTGGCAAGCCTTCATCCATGCAGATATGTCTGATAGACAGTCTGTGATCCGCGCCGAGACAGTGGGATCGCCTGGCGGGAAGGATAGGTAGAGTTGCGTGTCGTCTGAGCCGTAGCAGTGGTAAGAGAAGCCGTGCGAACGAATGATCGGCCCCAGTGAAGTTGTGTAAATTGAGAAGATAAGGGGCCCAAGCACTGAGCCTTGGGGCACCCCTGTGGAGAGGCAGTGGGAGGAGGATAATTGTCTTTGCCACAAAACATTGTAGGAACGCCCCGAGAGGTAGGATTCGAACCACAGGAGTGCTTTACTCGAGATGCCCATTGCTGAGAGAGCGGATATCAGGATCCTGTGGTTGACTGTGTCAAAGGCAGCTGATAGGTCAAGCAGGATAAGAACCGAGGATTGGGCTGCAGCTTTAGCTGACCTTAGGGCTTCTGTTACAGACAGAAGAGCCGTTTCAGTAGAGTGGGCACTCTTAAAACCAGACTGATATGGATCTAGGAGGTCATTCCCTGAGAGGAATTCTGAGACCTGTTTGAATACTGCCCGTTCAATAGTTTTGGATAAAAAAGTTAAGTTATCATTGCCTTGTTATCTTGCCAAGTCTTTAAACCCCATTTAAAGCCATACACAGGATGAACAGTGCGAAGACGGGATTTGCGTTGACGCACATAAATTGTTTCTTAGAAAAAAGGGGAATGCTTGATACTTACAAATGTGGGTCGAGGACACAATCAATTTGTGACCTCCTCCAACCTTATTTTGTGTAACAACTACAATCATGTATTTTTCAGATGCCAACTTTCTATTTCAGAGACAACTCAACAAAACTAATGTATAACCTATGACAATAGATAAGGTTTTTCTTTTTTTGTTTGTTTTGCGGGTGTCAGTAAAGTACCACACGGCCTAACTTAAGTCTGTGTTGTGTAGGAAAAATAAAACAATGACACACAGGCACCCTTGTGGTTTTGTATCTCGAATAAATCATTTTAAATGGAGTTTAAATGAAGGAATATGCTGGCCTGGCTGTCAGATATTGACTGTGGCTGTCGATGTTACATATTGGTGAAGCTG